AACAAAAAAAAAAAAAAAAAAAAAAAAAAAAATACACCAACTATTAATTTCTCGTTTATATACAAAGGTAGAATCTTAGTTTTATATGAAAGTAGACAGGCTAGAGTTGGATAAAAGTTTAATTTCAGAATTCCTTAATGTCAGCTAAAACACCCTCAAACTTAAGAAACTAAACACTTCTAAACCTTGAAGCTGAAATCAGTTTGACTGATGTCCTCTTTCATGCCATGTAAGCCATTGTCTAATTGAGGCCAGACCTGTCAGGTTCAACAGCATCCCAGAAATGACTAGCCTTCTAGAGCTGGAAACACATCAGGAATTTGGAATATTTCTCATATTGAAGAAAGGAAAAAAGTTCAAGTGAGATTGTCCCCAAGAACAATCAGTATACTATTCCACATGGGAAAAAAAAAAAAAAAAAGACCTAAAAAGCATATTTTTGTTATTCTGGTCAGTCCACAAGAATATATCAGAATTCTGTATCTATTTTCAGGTGATGGCCCACTGAACTTACCCCTTTCCTTCCTACACATGAACAAGAGTTCACTATTAAATTCTCATTTTGAATGCCTGTCTTGTAATCTAGATTTTTTATTTTATATCTTTAGCTACTAAAACCATCACCTGGAGCACGGCTGTTTTCTTGACTTAGAAACCTGTTACCAATAATGCCTAGCACCTAAGCTGCTTAATGTTTTTCCCTTCTTACCAAGAAAATCCATTAAATGTCGAAAAGAAATAAATACAAGCACGCGCGCACGCGCGCGCGCACACACACACACACACACACACACACACACACACTGAAATCCCAGTCATGAAAAATTAAGTCACATTCTGGCCATAAACCGTGCAATAGACACTTCGAGTTAGCGTGTGCCTTAGTGATCACGGACAGCGGTATCAGAGTAAGTGATAGGGGGTTGGAGGTGGTTGACAACATACAGTGCATCAGAGCCAATAAGCAGCAGGCTAGGACTGACAGCAAGGCCGGTCTCTAAAGGGAGCTATAACACAATATCAGAATGCTGGATTTCCGAATGCCATTTTAAGGGGAAGGAGGGGATGAGAACTGGGGATCAAGTGCAATGAAAGGCTCTGACCAATGTCTGAGGCGATGAAACCGAAGACAAGGTCTTCTGGCAACACCCGCTGTCCAGTCTCATCTCACCTCAAACACAACTCAATTTCAGGTCGTTCTTATCAAAGTCAGCTGCTCAAAAGGTGAGGGGGTGGCAGGCAGGGGATGGTGACAGCCCCCAAGAGACTGCCAAAAGCCCTTGGAAAAGGCAGAGACACTACAATTGGAAGAGGCTTGAAGGGGTTTCTACTTCGCAAAAGGAGGGCTTTGCAGCCGCCTCCCCTCTCCCTTTCCAGCCGGGGTTGTTAGGTAGGAGGTTAGGATGTTGCTGGAGGGTTTATGAAGGAGTGATAGGAGAAAATGGCAGTAAAGGATGAGGGGGGCTGGAAGGGCTGGTGCCACCCAAGAAAAGGGGGGAGGAGGGACTTCCCTGGACACATCCAGGATAACAACGCCACCACAGAGCAAGGGCAGTGCCCTGCTAGCGCCTGACACCCCTCTCTCTGGGAAAGCTTCGCCCCCGTCCACACGATCCCAATCCCCAAACACTGCTCCCACCCGACCCTTCTCCCCCACGGTATCCCCATCGTGGCCTCCTTTCCCTTCCGCCTCAGGCCCCACGCCCTCAAGCTCCCCTCCCCTTCCCCGGTCACCCACCCTCAGGGCAGCCCGTCGCCGGCCTCCCCGGCAGCTTGCCCAGACCCCTCCCCCCTCACCTCTCCTCAGCGCCTCCTCGTAGCTGAGGAATCCGATCCGTGACTCCTTGGCGCCCATGCTCCCCTCATCCCCTCGGCTGGGGGTCGGAGCCCGATCTCGCCCCCACCCCCCTCCCGCCTTCTCCTCGGCGTCCCGGGCAGACGGTGTTGGCGTCCCCCGGCCTCCTCCTCCCCCCACACTAACAAGTGCGGCTTCTGCCCCGGCGGCTCCTCCCGGCCGCCGCCACCGCCTCCATGCCGAATCACGTGACCCGCTCCCACCCCGCCCCCTTCCCCTCCCTCTTACTCCGCCCTTCTCCTCTCTCCTCTCCTCCCTTCCCTTCCCTCCTCACGCCCTCTTCCCTCCCCCGCCTCCCGCCTGCCCCGCCGAGGGTCACCTGACCCAATGGCCGGGGATTGTTCCGGGTAATGGCCGCCAGGGACCACCCACCCCACCCGCCGCGCGCAGGGGCGTAGGGGCGGAGCCAGACCTCGCGCGTAACGCATCATCGCCACCTTCCGGCCAATCCGAAGCCGCGAGGCCCACGAGCCTCCGCCCGCCTGGGGGGCAGCGACTTCCGGGGAGCTCGAGGCAGTCCTCCCGCCCACACGTTCTGGCGCTCGCTGGGCGGGGTCGGAGCCCTTGACTGTTCGTCTGGCCTGGGCCCAGTCGCATCTTGAAAGAGAAATGGAATCTTAGGGTGCCGAGGTCCTAGCTGTGCGGTTCGTGAGAGAAAGGAGCGGGCAGACGGTGCATTCCTAACGTTAAGGACATTTTTGATTGGGAGGGAGCTGTGAAAGGAAAGGAGACTCTCAAGGATTTCATGTCACCAGAGAATTCTTTATCCTATGGGGCGATCCTTAAGGAAAGCGAATGTTGTGACAAAGTTGAGATCTTCCTTTTCGCGTTACCCCATCCCCCATCCCAGTTGACGCTAGATTTCCTTTCACATACGCCCAGCCAGCCGGCCCTGGGCGCACCTCCTGCTCTGAGCCTGCTTCTTGTACACAGGCTTTGGAAGCTGTTAATGCAAAGGCTTAGCTTGCTGATCTGCAAGAGTTGCTCCCTGCCAGAAATGTGGGAGTTACAAGACTGATAACAGCTTTTCTTACGCTTTTTTTTAATTATTATTTTTTTAATTGTGGTAAGGTATGCCAACCATTTTTAAATATCTCAAGAGCAGAATTATACAGTACTTCCGTTTTTGTGACTGGCTTATTTCACTTAGCATAATGTCCTCAAGTTTTGTCCGTGTTGCAGCACAGTATCAGAATTTCCCAGGTTTACCTATGACCCAGCAATTCCACTTGTGAAATTATACCCAAAAGAATTGAAAACAGGGACAGGAACAGATATTTATACATCTGTGTTGATAGAATATGATTCACAGTAACCAAAAGGTAGAAGGACTTCGTCCATCGACAGATGAATAAATACCGTATATGCGTACAATGGAATACATGCAGTTCCTTGCTTTTTTTAATTCAGTTTGCTTTCATTAGTCTTCACCCTGAAAGCCACAGCATCAAACTTCTGGTTAACGAAACACAACCATTTATTTGAAAAATAAGCATTTGGATTAGATTAGACTCAGGGTGCTACTTAGGTAATTGAGGGGCAGCAAAAGGATTTTTAGTTCCTAAAGCCAACATATTATAATATGTCCTGCCAGAGAGAGAAGGTAATAACTCTTTCTCTACTCATCTTTCCTGGCAGACTAGATCAGCGGCGTGGCATTAGTCACAGTGCTGCCCTTTCCAGTTCACTGTGAGGTAGTTAATTTTAAGGCCTCAGATTCGTTTCACTACTAAAAGGCCATGAATAAGGGGGTTGGGAATGTACTTCAAAGCCTTTAATTTCCGGGTGATTAGCTCGGCATAGACATAAGTCTCCAGACAAAACTCAGTCATCTTCAGCCTGCAGTTAGATTATAGTAATTAATGGGAAGTGAATCTTAAGAAAGGGCTCAGCTGTGGAGAAAGGACCCTCAAGAGTTTGATTGCAACATGCCTTGGCATTATTACTGTCCTAAATAATCAGTACCTAAAGGCGACCTTGCTGTACGAAGGACAGACCTGGGTGATGATCTACCCTCTTGATTTACAGTAGAATTGGAAGCAAATTGTTTTATCTCTTTGTAGTACTTGCCCCGCTTGAAAGGTGGGATTGGGTTGGAATTAATCTATCTCATGAAATAGTAAATCATTACAAAATACTCAGGAAAGAATAGAAGATAAACTATATAATGAAAAATTTAAGAGCAGTACTAATACACAGGAACTTTTAAGATTTTCTCCTTGGTTTTAGGCCCAGCTTCCCCTAGAGCCATAAAAAAATTCACCCCATCACAGAGTTTACCGTGGATTAAGCACAACTCAAAATTATGGGTTGAGGTAGAAAACTAGGAAATACAATTTCTCCCTTGTCTAAGTTAAATTAAGCATATTATTGAAGGCAGTGAAGCAGATAGTTATGTCTGATGAGAATTTTAAATGTTAAGCTGGGATTAAAACCTGCCTTTCGGTTTGTATTACACGGTATCAGGCAGTCAAATGTTAAACATCCCTCTATAACTTAAAATTGATACAGCACTTAAGTTTGATGATGTAGAAAATCTAAAGCCTACCTGTCATGCTGAAAGGAATTCTATTAATCATTTCGTTTGTTCAGTTTCATCATCTTTCACGTCATCCACTGAAGAGTTGACCAGCCCCCGACTTTAAGCTTTAGGTCACACTTGGGCAACCATTGCTTTAACTATGGTTACGTGTCTGTGAAAGAGTTATCCATACGAAGATGTAAAGCATGGAAAATTGGTATGTAATTTCTACTTCCAGTTGGGCAATCCAAATGACAGTGTTCCTCAGTTTATATTCCCAGAGAATTGACATAGGAATAGGATAGGGTCATTTTAGTACTTACCAAAGAAACTTAAGTCACAGACAGGGAGGTCAGTACAACAAAGAAGGGGCAGAACAGCACCTGACTTTTGTATAATTGGATTGCCACAAAGTGAGGCCAACACTGTAGGAAGTATGACTCTACAATAAGAGAACTGATTTTCCAGAATTGGGGACTTGTTACCTTATGGTGACGCAATGTGAAGTTGTGGTCACCATATATACATTTTTTGGGGGGCCGTGCTTCATGGCTTGCAGGATCTTAGTTCCCCAGGGCCACGTCAGTGAAAGCACCAAATCCTAACCACTGGACTGCCAGGGAATTCCCTACTTGTATTATATTTTTATTTAAAGCATTTTAAGTTTTTTGGTTTTTTTAAAATTAATTTAATTTATTTTTGGCCACCTTGGGTCTTCGTTTCTGTGCACAGTCTTCCTCTAGTTGCGGCGAGCAGGGACCACTCTTCGTTGCAGTGTGTGGGCTTCTCATTGCCGTGGCTTCTCGTTATGGAGCATGGACTCTAGGCACGCGGGCCTCAACAGTTGTGGCACACGCACTCAGTAGTTGTGGCTCACGAGCTCTAGAGCACAGGCTCAGCAGTTGTGGCCCAAGGGCTTAGTTGCTCCATGGCATGTGGGATCTTCCCTGACCAGGGATCGAACCCGTGTCTCCTGCATTGGCAGGGAGATTCCTAACCACTGTGCCACCAGGGAAGTCCCTTAAGCTATTTTTTAATGAAAATAATACCACTCATTGTAAAAAAATTTTTCCATCAGTACAAAAGTGTATCTAAAACAAAAGATCACACTCCCTGCTTCACCCAGTCTCATTCCTTAGGAGTGTGTATCTTTCCACTTTTCTGTGACTATACCCACCATATTTTTCATGAATATAAGATATGCATCTATACTCCCTTTATTTTTAGACATACCTACTGATCTGCAGTTTCTTTCTTCACTTAATAGAATATCCCAGACTGCTTTTCATCTCAGCATACAGATCTATCTTATTCTTTTTAACAGAAGCATAGTATGCTGTATTTAATGTGTAATTAACCAATTACCTATCAATGAACACTAGATTGTTTCAAGTGTTTCAGTATTACAAATACTGTTGCAATAAACATCCTAGTATATATATCCTTCTTTACATATGTGAGTGTATCTGTAGATGGAATTTCCAGAAGTGGAATAGCAGAGTCTGGGAGTATGCACCTTTTAAGTTTTAATAGATGTTGCCAAATTGCCTGCCTAAAAAGTTGGATCAATTTACATTCTAATCTAAAACACTAAAATAAAAATAAAATTCACATTCTAATCAAGAGTATCTGAGAAAGCCAGTTTCCCCTCACCCTTGCTAACATTAATATCAAGTTAAGCTGATTTTTGTTATTACCGTTTACCTATTACAAATCCTATGAACAAAGAATTGAACCCCTGCTTTTCTAGACATGAAATTCATTTTCATTTTAAACCTGGACAAAATATTTGAAGAATGACTAAGAGATGTCATTCTCTAATCAGCAATTAAAGATGTTTCTCTTTCCTATTTATCGTTCTTAAAAAGGTGCCTAGGGGCTTCCCTGGCGGCACAGTGGTTAAGAATCCACCTGCCAATGCAGGAGACACGGGTTCGAGCCCTGGGCCGGGAAGATCTCACATGCTGCGGAGCAACTAAGCCGGCGCGCCACAATTACTGAAGCCCGCGAGCCTAGAGCCCGTGCTCTGCAACAAGAGAAGCCACCACAGTGAGAAGCCCACGCACCGCAATGAAGAGTAGCCCCTGCTCTCAGCAACTAGAGAAAAACCCACGTGCAGCAGTGAAGACCCAATGCAGCCAAAAATTAAATAAATGAATAAATAAATAATTCTTTTTTAAAAAGGTGCCTAAAATTGGCAAGATTTCAACAGGGCCCATCCCCTAAGAGCTTCCAACTCACAAGATACCTAAGCTAAAACTAAGAATGGGAAAGAAGTACAACATTCAGAGTGAGGGCCTTTAACTTAGACCTACTTTAGAAGTTTTCTTCTGTCTTAACCACAGTCCATGCTTGGCAAACATTTTACACTACCCACTGAACCTGTGAGTAGATGTTTTGCCTTTATAATGCTCCTCTGTTGCCCTCCTCCACCCCACCTGCAATTAACTTGTATTTATGTCTTTTTAAAATTAATAGTTTACAAATGTTAGGCAATGGGTCTTAAGGACAGGACCATCAGTGGCTGCTTTTTCTTGTCAGCTACTGAAAAATCAATCAGCTTCCTTTTAGTCCTCCTCTGATCTCCTTATTCCTTCCAATATGGCAATTTCATTGTACTCTTAGGCCAGTCTTTTCCAG